TCCCATAAAAAATGAACCTCTCTAGTTATCATAAAATAGCGTAATATATATAAACTCTTACTACATCTATCTATAACAAACTTACACACCCACAACTCTAGTCTACCTCAAACCTACCTCTAATGATGACTAAGCGCAACGATTTGCCATAACCCATTATTCCCAAAAACGATTTCTATCAAAAGATTTACTACCACATAAATCAGGCTATGAAATGACAAATATCACCTGAATCCTGATACCTTTGGTACGAAACCTAAAACGAGTGAATCATTTTGGAATCGTACCAAGACATTTTGGGCTAATGTTCGTGTTTCAATATAATATTTGAGGTTGCTCTAGCAGTTTAATGCGGTTTTACCTGGAGACTTTATTAACTAAAAATCGCGGGTTACATACATACATAACTTTATGCCTGTCTCCCAAGGGGGTAGGCAGAGAATAAGGAACGCCAATTACTACGATTCCTACATACCTCTTTCGCTTCATCAACAGTCATCAATCTTTTCATGCATGCTCGTCGGTTAAGGGGACTTTTAAATTGGCCCTTCTTTAATATATCGCCAATCTGGTCTCTACCGACGGCCCCATTCATATCTTATTTCGTTATTCTACTTTCATCCATACTTTCTACTTATCCAAATGCTTCTTCTGCCGTACCCATGATTCACTATCATACATAAGCGTTGGTGTCAATACACACTGCATTACAGTAAGTTGAGGTTTACTGGATATAATTTTACTCGACATTACAGAGTGTAAAGCATTATTAACACTATTTCCCGCTTTCACTCGCCTTTCAATATCCCCGTCACACTTTCCATCGCGGGTTACTCACGTTAATATACTGAGAAAAGCTCTATTAGTTTCGAACCACAGAGGGGTTCTTCCTCATGAGCAGAGTGCGCGATCGCGGTGATGTCGCGCAGCCTACTCTCAATTACTACTACTACTACAGCAGATCACGTGAGTAACCCACGATTTTTAGTTAGTTAAGTATGTCTCACGATAGTTATGACTCTTGAACTTTTCCCAACCTGATTAGGGTCAGCTCAGCTATTAGTGTTAACCAAAGTTAACTGAAAACTGATATTTTACATGTGATTAATAAAAAAACTTATATAACCTCTATTGTGACCTTTATTTACTTATATCTACTGATGTTTGTGTGACAAACAAACAAAATGTTTTCATCTTTATCACATTGGTATAGATTTGAAAATTGCCTGTTCATGGCTATTCATTTTGTTGGTTTCCGAAATTGATTTGTCATGGTTTCTTCTACAATGGGGCAATCATTTTATATTAAGTGGTTTTCCTTGAAGTGACACTATTCATACATTCAGGTACATCCATTTGTCATCTAGCAATAATAATAGAGCCGGAGGCCAATTACCCCCTGCCCAATCTCCGAATACCCAACAGTCCTCCAATTCCTAATCACCAAAAGGCCAGTAACACACTTGTAACGCTTTCTACTGTCGCGGAGAACCTAACGAGTAACCGGGGCTCCGGTTCGACGTGCAGGAGAAGGAACGGGGTGGTTTTTAGTCAGTAAGAGTCTGACACTCCCTCCCGCCTCACCCGGGCAGGAGCAGTCATTCGATGATTTTCCCCCCTTAAAAAAAAAACACTATCTGGTGATTTCTGTGACTGGCCGATTGCTTACCATCAGGTGATACGTCTGCTCGTTTTTTTATATATTTAACTAGCTGTTTCCCGTGACTTCGTCCGCGTATAATAATGACTTCTGGCAAATTTTGGATTCTGTAATTAGTCTAATTGATCTCCAAGGTTAATTGCAATGCTGTGTAACAAATTTCATCTTAATCAATTTAGTTGTATTTATTGTGAAATGTTGTTTATTTTCATGATTTCAAAAAATCAACGAAACGAGAAACAACGCTTGCGTTTTCTGTGAGATCGTGGTATTGCTCCGGTCGAGCCGACCCATACGTGACGAAGCATGGCTCTCCCACACAGCATGGTGTCTGAAATTGTAAATGGCTAGATACGTCAGTCTATTACACCCGCAGAAACGATATTGTGAAACAGTATTGAAACAAGTTCCTTATTGTGTACTCAACTACTCGTAATAGACAAAATTTTACAATATATTTTCAACTCTAAAACCAACCAATAAGGCAGAAGATCCATCTTTACAATAACTTCAAAATGAAACACAGACCCTTCGAGACAAAAATATCACATTGTCACCTTTCAACATTCCCTTGCCCTTTAGTTAAGACCTCTAACAATGTAAACCTAATAGGGTTCCTCTAACGAGCTGACACGAATTTTACCAACAATGCCCCATAAGTATGTTTTGTATGGATTTCCTTCCGTGTGTTATTTGTAAGAGATTATTATTGGATTTTGGACAAAAAATTAAACAAGTGAAATTGTGTCTTATGATGCAGTTTTGTTATTCATTGCAACGTATCAAAACCATAGCTAGGCACAAGGACCATTATCAACAGCCTATAAATACCCACTGCTGAGCAAAGCCTCTTCTCACACGGAAGGTTTGAGCATTAATTACCACGCTTGCTGAATACGGGTTGGTGATTTCAAACTTATAATTAGGAATTATAAGCCTAGGTTTCCTCACTATGTTTTCCTTCACCGTTTGTCAGTGGTGTCTGAATAATCTTAGAAAGTACATAATATAATTCGGAAAAAGTCACATTGGTACTTGCCGTTGGTAGGTTTCGAACCTCCGGGCCACCACGACACACACACGATAAAATCCAGTATCAGCCCAGAATTTTTTAAACTCTCATATATCCCCAAGCGGTCACCGCTGACCACTCTCCACTAACTACATTATAGGCCTTATTTCCAATGTTTAGAGACTACTTTTAAATCGGCCTCCACAGCACAAGAACAAGGCAAGAATAAAACTCAATTAGTGTTTTTCTCCTACAAAAATCAAACGTGTGCTTCAAATTCGGTAGAACCGAGGCCTTGTTGACTAGAGCGACGAGGTAGAAAATCAGAAATCTCCCTAAAAACATGACTCAATTCAAGCCTTCCCAACCGCAACAACAAGCAACAAAAATCAAGGAAAATAGTCCTAAAAAGATCCTGCAATAAGGCCTTATTTCCTAATAATCGGCTCCGAAATAACGTTTAGACTCTATTTGAAGCAATACCAAACGTTTTGGTTGCCCCAAACGATGTTGGTTATAACCAGCTAAAACCGGCTCAAACCGCCTCCGGCCGCCAATATCCAGTTGATACCGATATTGGACGAAAACGATTTACCAAAAACTTTGACCCATCGTATTTACCTTTGTGGCGGATTTTGCGTTGGTATTTTCAGGTAGCCATTTTATTTTTGTTTCAAGTATTTTATTTTTAGATACTTTTACTATTGTTTGTGACATTCTTTTGATGAAAAGGTCACGCATATAAATAAAAGGTGACGACACATAGCATACATTACCTTCGAATAAAACTTTTCTAGGAACTTTTGAATAATATATACGTTTACTACAGCAACTTTTAGTAAAATTAATTTTAAACGACCCAAAACACTCACTATTTCACTAAAATAGACTGAAAGGAAAACAAAAAATTCGTGATTTACAAAAAGCAGCAAGACAACGCATTCAAATCAATATATCGTCGAAAGTATTCGTTTGTGTAAGAAAATAAAAAATACGTGTCTAATGATTTAAAATAATCTACCAGACGGACATTAAAATAAAAATTAGGCATCTACTATTCTTTTAAATTTTTTTTCTTTCTTCGTAGCTATGGTGCGTTGTTCTCATTGTAACATCAAAGGCTTGCCCTGTGATACGTATAACTTTTTAGAGGTAAAAAGGATATGTAGCATTCAATATTATCTTATATATTTACCTAGTACAGAGAGATTATTATTAAAGCTGAAGAATTTGTTTGTTTGTTTGAACGCGCTAACCTTAGGAACGACTGGACCGATTTGAAAAATTATTTTTGTTTTGAATAATCCATTTATTAAGGAACGCTATTAAGGCTATACAACATAAAGGTACGATCAATAAGCGCTGAGCAGAGAGGATGAAACCGTGCGGAATAAGTTTTTTATAGTTTTTTGTATCATTAATTTAATAACTGACCTGACTGCCTCGTTGGCCGAGTGGTCGCAAGTGCGACTGCCGGGCAAGGGGTATCGGCTTCGATTCCCGGGTAGGGCAAAGTATTACTGGGTTTTTAAAAAAATCTCAGCAGTAGCATGAAGCCTGGAAATGTGCCCGGTATATGGCAATAGGCTCACCCCCTATTACATGGGACTCATAACATAAATAGTGAAAAGTGGGTGTTACATTGTACACTGGCATAATGTGCACCTCAGCCTACCCCTTCGGAGATAAAAGGCGTGATATTATGTTTCATTAAATAAAAATGATTGAAAGTATAAAAATAACATTAGACCTCGTACAATCTGTTTTCAAACCCCCGCCATTTATCTTATAGTCATAAAACCAGATTCTCTCAAACTTGTAGGTAACTGTACAAATCTAAACACATACACCTACATACATTTATATATATATTTACATTTTTGTACGGAATGCATAACACTTCCTTACCAGTTGGTCGATAAAAATTCCATCGATAGTCGATAATTGTAATCCTATCGACAGAGCCCTCATCACTAATTACCAATATAGTTATAACTATCAATAGCTACTGATGATCGCTTACCGATGCGTGTGCGCATATCTGTCAAACCAGTCTTGCCGAGATTTTGCTACGACGCGCGTGGACAATTCTTTCACTTTCTAAAACCTATAAAAATTACCTTAGTTCTACCTATTCCTTACTACTTTTATATACTGACTGTCTTCTCGTTATCTCTGTGCCGTGCTTGTGACTTTCCTACTGTGCCTTCTGTCTGTACTACACGTGTCGGATCCATCAAATAAACCTGGTGATACGTGAGTCGAACTTTTATTTACACCGTCAGACAACTCATCTAAACACCCAAACAGGTGACCCCGTTTTGAACCATGGAGAAGGAATTCCAGGATGCACATGGTCCCACCATGCCCTTGAGCACCCAGAGGTCAAGCACTAGTGATGTAGGCGAGTCGATAAAAAATATCGATATTTTCAAAGTGGGCACACGCCTACCACCATTTTGGCCGGAAGAGCCCGAAGTTTGGTTTGGACAAGTAGAAGGTCAATTTGCAATATCCGGAATCACCAGCGACTCAACCAAGTTCCACTACGTGATCAGTCAGCTGGATACCCAGTACGCGAGGGAAGTGAAAGACCTCATTATTAGTCCGCCCGCATCAAATAAGTACGACAAATTAAAAGTCGAATTAATTAAGCGGTTGACGGCGTCGAAGGAGAAAAAGCTCAAGCAGCTCTTGATGCACGAGGAGCTCGGAGACAGAAAGCCCTCTCAATTTCTCCGTCACCTTAAAAGTCTCGCTGGCGTGAATGTTCCCGACGATTTTTTAAAAACCATCTGGATAAGTCGCCTATCACACGGGATCCAGACGGTGCTTGCAGGCCAGCCACCAACAGCTACCATCGATGACCTGTCAGATTTGGCTGACCGCATACAGGAGTTGGCCGCACCTTCACCATCTGTGGCTTTCACAAGCGCAGCCAGTCCCAACACGGCCCTGGATGTCCTCGTCAGAGAAGTAGCTGAGCTTCGGAGACAGGTTCAACAGCTCAGTACAGGCAGGAACAGCAGAGCCCGTACACGATCTACGAGGTCGCCTCACCATAGATCATCATCCAGGTCGACACGATCAGAGTCTAATTACAGGAAGTTTCCACTTTGCTGGTACCATGGTAAATTCGGAGAGAAGGCCAGCAAATGCGTAACCCCCTGCGACTACAAATCGGGAAATGCCAGGGGCGGTCGATAATGGCGACAGCTGACTGCCCTGCAACTCCTACTGGTCGCCTGTTTGTCACAGACCGGAATTCGAAGATGCAGTTCCTCGTCGATACAGGAAGCGACCTCTGTGTCTTCCCCCGGTCTCATCTTCGTGATCGACGTGCCAAGACGGACTACAATTTGTGTGCTGCAAATGGTTCCACTATTTCGACATACGGTTATGTACACTTTAATCTAGATTTTGGCTTGCGTAGAGTGTTTACTTGGCGTTTTGTAGTAGCAGACGTAACTAAGCCTATTATAGGCGTGGATTTTTTAAACTACTACTGTCTTATTGTTGATTGCCGTAATAAACGCCTATTAGATAGTAGTACTTCTGTCTCCGCTGTAGCCAAAGTAGTTAGATGTAGCGACATAGCATCCGTCAAGGTCTTGACTGGTGAGACTCAATACCACAAAATTCTCAACGAGTTTCCGGAAATAACTCGACCAGCCGGTAAGCCACATTACTCATCACACAATACCGTCCACCACATACGCACGACACCAGGCCCTCCAGTTTACTCTTCACCTCGTCGTTTAGCGCCGGATAAGCTCAAAATCGCCCAAAAAGAGTTCCAGTCTATGCTGGCCCTTGGTACAGCTAGACCTTCCGAGAGTCCATGGGCATCACCGCTGCATCTGGCGCCAAAGAAGAACAATGGCTGGCGTCCTTGCGGCGATTACCGTAAGTTGAACGCCCGTACCGTGCCTGACAGATATCCGATTAAACACATCCACGACTTTACCCATAGTATAACTGGATGCAAAGTCTTCAGTACACTTGATTTAGAGAAAGCATATAATCAGATACCTGTCAGCCCCGAGGACATACCTAAGACCGCCATTACAACACCATTTGGACTATTTGAATTTCCATTTATGACGTTCGGTCTTAGGAATGCGGGCCAAACCTTTCAACGGTTCGTAGACGAAATGACGAGGGGTTTGGATTTCGTATATTGTTACTTGGACGATTTTCTTGTGTTTTCTAAAAGTCCTCAGGAGCACGAGGATCATTTGCGACAAGTTTTCAACAGGCTGAAGGAATATGGTATGTTGGTGAACACCTCGAAATGCGTTTTCGGTATGGAGGAAGTAACATTTCTAGGCTACCGGATTACCAAAGACGGTACTAGACCACTTGATTCCAAGGTCCAGGCCATCAAGGATTTTCCCCCTCCAAGCAACGTCCGTCAGCTAAGAGGTTTCTTAGGAATGGTAAATTTTTATAGGAGATTCCTTCCTAATGCAGCCGAAATTCAAGCTCCACTTCACACCTTATTAACAGGCTCCGTCAAAGGCTCACAACCAATTTCCTTGGCAGGCGACACACTCGCTGCTTTCGAAGCCTGTAAAGAAAGTCTGACCAATGCTGCTCTTCTAGCTCATCCAGACTGCACAGCTAAACTTGCAGTTGTCACAGATGCCTCAGACAGGGCTATCGGTGCAGTTCTGCAGCAATACAATAATGATGCTTGGCAGCCCTTAGGTTTCTTTTCAAGGAAATTGAGTCCATCACAGGTGAAATACTCACCATATGATAGGGAGCTTTTAGCAATTTATGAGGCCATTAAATATTTTAGGCACATGCTAGAAGCTCGCCATTTTATAGTCTATACTGACCATAAGCCTATTAGCTTTGCCTTCCATGAAAGGAAGAATAGCTGTTCGCCCAGGCAGTATAGACATTTAGACTTCATTTCCCAATTCACGACAGATATCCGCCACATTTCCGGTAAGGATAATGTGGTTGCAGATACCTTGTCGCGAATTGAAGAGCTAGCAGGCCCCGTAGACCTCGAAAAACTGGCTCAAGCTCAGACTTCTGACTCAGAACTCTGTAAGCTCTTGAGCGAAGGTTCTTCTCTGCAGCTCAGGAAATTCACTGTCCCTGGAAGCGGAATTCCCGTTTACTGCGACGTCAGTACTTCAGCTTCCAGGCCATACGTACCTAAATCATTCCGCAATCAAATTTTTAATAGCTTGCACTCCTTAAGCCACCCTGGTGCCAACGCGTCGGCCAAGCTAATAGCCGAGAGGTTTGTATGGCCAGGCGTGCGGAAAGACTGTAGGAACTGGGCACGCGCTTGTATACCGTGTCAGAGGACGAAAGTCAACCGTCACGTGACTGCTCCTCTGGGCACTTATAACTTACCGCGTGCTCGGTTTAAACAGATCCACATTGATTTGGTAGGACCTCTTCCACTTTCCCAAGGTTATCGGTACTGTTTAACGGCCGTCGATAGATTTACACGGTGGCCAGAGGCAGTACCGATACAAGATATCACAGCGGAAACGGTGGGCAAGGCTTTGTTATCCATGTGGATATCCCGTTTTGGTTGCCCGACAGATATTGTAACCGACCGTGGTCGCCAGTTCGAATCGTCTCTGTTCCAATGTCTGTCGAAGATAGCAGGATTCGAACATAAGCGGACGACAGCCTACCATCCAGCTTGCAACGGTTTGGTCGAAAGGTTCCACCGTCAGCTAAAGGCCGCGATAGTCTGTCATGCGAACGACAGGTGGACGGAATCTCTGCCATGGGTCTTACTAGGCGTAAGATCTGCCTTTAAAGAAGACCTTCAAGCCTCTTCAGCGGAACTGCTGTACGGGGAGCCGCTAAGGTTACCTGGAGAATTTTTTGAGCCAACAGTCAACGGTACAGTGGACACAGCTGAATTTACTGCAAGGCTCAGAAATTTTGCCGAGAAACTGAGACCGGTCGCCGCATCCCGCCACTGCAATCCCAAAGTGTTTATTTACAAGGAGCTAGATACTTGCGATCACGTTTTCCTCCGTGAGGACGCATTGCGGGGTGCTCTCCAGCCTGCTTATTCTGGGCCATTTAAAGTTATCACACGAAGGGACAAGGTATTTAAGATTCTAGTCAAAAACAATGAAGTGACAGTATCCATCGACCGACTGAAGCCTGCCTTCATTCTATCAGACACGGTGGAGGAACCCCCACCAACAGTGCCGCCGAGTTACACAACACGTTCTGGGAGGCGAGTTAAATTTACTGACTTCTATCGCCCTTGACGGTCTCTGGAGGGGGGTGGTGTAGGTAACTGTACAAATCTATACACATACACCTACATACATTTATATATATATTTACATTTTTGTACGGAATGCATAACACTTCCTTACCAGTTGGTCGATAAAAATTCCATCGATAGTCGATAATTGTAATCCTATCGACAGAGCCCTCATCACTAATTACCAATATAGTTATAACTATCAATAGCTACTGATGATCGCTTACCGATGCGTGTGCGCATATCTGTCAAACCAGTCTTGCCGAGATTTTGCTACGACGCGCGTGGACAATTCTTTCACTTTCTAAAACCTATAAAAATTACCTTAGTTCTACCTATTCCTTACTACTTTTATATACTGACTGTCTTCTCGTTATCTCTGTGCCGTGCTTGTGACTTTCCTACTGTGCCTTCTGTCTGTACTACACGTGTCGGATCCATCAAATAAACCTGGTGATACGTGAGTCGAACTTTTATTTACACCGTCAGACAACTCATCTAAACAACCAAAAACTTTAACATAACATTGCCATAACGTCATCTTTAGGAACTATCTCGAAGATTTGCGGCTTGCAAAAGTACTTGAAAATTCACAGCCGCTTCAGCGCGTTAAAGCGCTTCGCTGTAGCGCTGTCGAACTAAAGTTACGATATTGACAAGACTTCCTTTAGTTCTGTCTGAAGTTTTAACTTGATTAATATAGTGCAGTCACAGTTATAATAGGTTCGTCAGAGTTCGTCATAGTTCGTCATAACTCGTTGAGTTCGTCACAGTTTGTTGAAAATTATTTTTTGGTCGAATATTTATATGTACTAACAAACCCGGCGAACTCCGTTTCGCCACCAGATGGCTTCGTTTTATGTAACATTTTGTTTGGTGATTAAAAGATGAAGAAAAATTTTTTTTTCTAAATTTTTTGTCTATAAACCTTACGGAGACTAAGATCTTTCCAACGAATGCAAAACCGTCGAAATCAGTTCGTGCGTTCTGGAATAATAGCGCCAGGAAGGAAATCCCGACTTATTTTTATATAGTAGATTACAAAATCGCAATTCTGTGCCAAAATATTTACAATGTTGTATTTTATATTGAACTAGCTTCTGCCAGCGGCTTCGCCCGCGATTCCAGGGGGAAAATGCCAATGTATTCACACCATACTCTACCTCTGTTCCGAATTTCATTCCGGTCCCTTCAGTCGTTTTAATATGACTGAGTAACAAACATACATATTTTCACATTTATAATATCGAGTCAAGCGAATTTCAGCCATCGGCCCTACAGTTACAGCGTAAAGTCAATAGATGAGTATTGTAAACGTAAGAGTAAACAAATATAAGCAGAAAGCTCCGAACTGCTAAACTATCGGGAGTTACGCGTGTTATTGTAAGTCAACCATAAAAGATAGACATGTGATGTTGTGGGATATTATTTAGATAATTTTATGTAGAACATTTCCGTCATACATGATTTCTATGTAGCTTTAACTATTAAGCCTGCACACGCGATGGAAGCTTAAAAATGGAGTAACTTCTCCTGTTTTCCCAATATTTCCCTTCACTGCTCTACTCCTATTGATTGTAGCGTAATGAAAAGTATACTATAACCTGCCCAAGAGTATGAAGAATAATTGTGCTAAATTTCGTTAAAATCTGTCGAGTAGTTTTTGTTTCCATAACGAACATACAGACAGACAGACAGACAGACAAAAATTTTACTGATTGCATTTTTGGCATCAGAAGCGATCCCTAACCACCCCTTGATAGTTATTTTTTAAATATATTTTATGTACAGAATTGACCACTCTACAGATTTATTATTTATATTGAATTATCATAAAAAGTAAATGGCAGAGATGTTCAACCTCCTTTGTTGTTTCCTTGTTCACGATACTTATAAAAAAAAATCAATCAAATATGAACACCAAATATTTGAATTTAGAAAAGGGATG